AAAAGTACAATAAATCAGATTTTATGCTTAATTAGGTAACTTGCTGAGTTGAATCCTAGTCATGGGTTTTTACTTATACAAATTGGGTATTATTTATAGGAACAAAAAGTGAAGGGTTTTAGGTACGGCAAATTGAATTTGAAGGGTTTAAGCCAAATTTACTAAATTTTTAAAATGTGATATATTGGAAGAAAAAAAAAAGGATCTAGCGCCGCTCTCCCAAATAACCAAACCCTAGATCTAGCGCTGCTCCATCTCTGCGAGGGGGAGGAGGAATCCTCCTCCCCCCTCCCACTCTACTGGAACTTGCTAGCCTTTCGACGATTCTGTCTTGGAGCATTTGGAACCCCCATCTTGCTCAGTCCGTAGCTCTCTCTTTCGAGGGCTGGTGACGTGTTTCGAGCTTCACCTGCTCGTTTCTGTGGCATCATGCCCCCTTCCCTGTTTGCATCCCCAAATCTTCACTATACCTTTCCCCTCAGAGATGTCCTTTGGCTATCCCCCGATTGGCTGTTTTTATCTTCTAGGTGCGTCGATTTCGAATCTGGTGGAGCAGGGGTCCCTCACTCTTCCATCTCGACTTGGTTGTGTCTATTGGATATTGCGGCTAATCCAAAACGCGATCTCTCGCATAAATCTCAGAAGTTGTGTAGAGCCACGGCAGTGCTATCTTGCACCACCTCCTTCCTGTTTCATGGTTCCGGTACTCTCGGCTTTTGACGGATTTGAGGGTTTTGGTTATGGTGGTGGATCTGTGGCTGATAAGCTTATCTTTTGTTAGTTGTTCATTTGGGCATTTTGCTGTTTTATTTCAAATTGTTGTTGTATGTTGTAACTTCTGTTTGTCTGTTGGTATCAACATCTGGGACAATCTTGGTGTTCTTGTTCATGTGATATCACAGATTAGTTATTCTGTTGTGCTTCCTCACTGGATTGCTGATGTTGTAATTCTAGGCTCTCCCCGTGTTGGGTGATGTTCTTGTTTTATGAAATATCAACTTTCGACCAAAAAAAAAATAAAAAAATCCTTGTAAGTCCATTCCATTTACACCGGCCCTAGTGGAAGCACATTGCTTTCTTTGAGAAGACTTTCACTCACCTATCAATATTCAATAACTCGATATTATTTGATATTATACCAATACATAATACCAATCTTCACTTGTTAATGTAGTTTATATGTCACTTTTTTCATGGTATCTAGCTTAGTGGAATGGTTGGTAAAATATAGTCTCGATATTAGTTGATAAGAGCTTATGGGTATAATTTGTCTTTGCCTTGAAAAAAAAAAAAAAAAAAAGGGTGCCCAAGAGCTCTATGCTAGTCTAAAATCTTTTAGGGCCCGTTTGGTATTCAACTTGAATTCAACATTTTAACCTCGAAAACATAATTTGAATCCAAAACAAAGAAAACCTGTTTGGTAGCCCTTTTTTTAAAAACACAAACTTTGAGAACAACTAAAAAACACCTCAATTATTAAAAACAAAAAATATCTATTTTTTTTTCAGTTTTTTTCTAACAACTCAAAAGTTCTCAAAATTTTAAGATTTAAAAACAGTTTTCAAGTTGCATACCAAACAAATTTTTGAATTTTAAAAATAGATTTAAGAACTCTTTGTTTTTAAAAAAAATCAGAGTTTTTGAGTTCCTATTTAAATAGGATCCCAAATGCCTTCTAACGTGAGCTATCAAGTTCCTATCAACATGAATGAAATAGCTCAAAGTGGAATTTCCATATATTGTATGACCAAACCAACGTGTTTGATAAAAAGAACGAACAAAAAGACACCACCAATGTGAAGTATGTGGTTTCAAACGATGTCGTGTCACTGCTTACTAGTCACTTAAACCACTTGCGATCAAATATCGGATGAGCCAGCCGAAAAGGTTCTGGATGCTTCTAAACCCCAAAATGAAAAACCTATCTTCAAAAACCCAATTGGATTTCAGACGAAAATACCCTCCGAAAGACTGTACTAGTAATATCGCAAATCTCCACATCATTATCTTCAACTTGGAATTTGTATAAGGGCATTGTCGTCAACCAAAAAATATCACCGGCAGCGCCCTAATTTCTCGTCTCTCTGTTTTTCTTTTTCTCCAAGCACGTTCGTTCTCTCTCTCTCTCTCTCTCCCTCTTCGCTTTACAAACTTCTCCTACAAGGCCAGACCAGCCCAATCTATATTGAAACCCAAATTTTAATTCTGATTTTGCCCCTCCAGTTCCTCAGCCATGTTCGTGTCTAGGGTTTTAACTCGTGCCTCAAGGACCCTCCCCAGGAGCACAATGCTCTTCGCCGCTCCACAAAATCATCACTTGCCAATCCTATGCAATCAGTCCCAAGCTCTGATCCACGATTTTTCCATTAAGGTGCCAGAAAATCCCTTTATCTCTTTAATGTTTTCCACTAGGGTTTTGCTAGGGTTTTAGGTTTTTCTGCAAAATTCACCAATATTACTGCTTTTTTTGGATCCGACTGGTTCTCTTGTTGATCAAGCGCTGTTTTTAATGATTATAAAATAGTATCGATGTTTCTTAGTCATGGAATTTGAGGTTTTGTGTCTTTAGCTTATGAAGCCTAAAAGCGGATTTGGAGAGATAACATATGATAATTGGCTTTCTGGGTTTATTACTTTCTTTTCAAATTATGAATATTGAGGAACATTTATACTTCATTATAGGCTAGTTTTGCAAGTGGAATTAAAAAGAATTTCATAATCTTTATGATTGGAACCACCCAATTTTTTTAAAAAAACAATTTACTTCAAATGATGAGCAAAAATCATGTACATGTCTATCTACATATGCTATTTTGGTTACAATTTGTACAGGGACATTTTTTGCGTCACCTTAATTTCAATGCTTAATGTCGAGCAGAGCAGGTTAGGTTCTGAGGATATTCTGCAACTTTAGCACTTTAGTCAACAGCTATGAAGTTCTTTAGTTATTGGCCTTCATCTTAGTTTTTTTAGCTTGGTGTTGAGTATAAGGTCCTGTTTCTGATACGAATTGAATCTTAAATTTTAGGGATCTGTTGAAAGAGTTAAAAACTTGCATAGTTTATAGTAACTGGTTTTTCCTAGTAAGTTTCTGATTTTATTTCTTTTAAATAACAGTTTTCTCCAAGGCAAGTGTCTCTGTTGCATCATTCAACCCCTAGTTCTTCAATCTCTCAAATATTTGGATTCTCTTCGTCTGCATCGCCACAGCCTTCAGAAAGGGAGCATGGAAGTGCTGCAGAGAATGGTGGTGCTTCCACAAATGGAGAGCCAGCAAAAGCAAGTGGAGATGCTAAAGTTTCTGAGCAAACAAAAGAATCAGGTTACACTTCAGATTCCCAGTCTAAGAAGTCTCCTTCTGTCAAAAGAAGGAGGGGAGGTACTAAACGAACTGCATTTTCAGATTCAGATTCAGAGGGTGAGGGTGACTTAGGTTTCGATGATCTGGTAAAACTTGTGGCTGAGAAGGAAGAACTTCTGAAGCAGAAACATGAAGAAATCAAGAGTATGCAAGATAAAGTCCTCCGAAGTTATGCAGAGATGGAAAATGTCATGGACAGAACAAGGCGTGAAGCAGAGAATTCGAAGAAATTTGCCGTACAGGTCCTGGTTACTTTTGACCTTTTTTCCTGTCCTCAGGAACCTGTTTTTAGCTTTTTTATTTACCTCATTCTTGTTGGAAAATAGATAATTTAATTTTTTGTTAAAAATGAAATTCTTCTGAGTTTTTACTCTGATGAGTGGTCATTAATATGTTGCAGAATTTTGCAAAGAGTTTACTAGATGTTGCGGACAATTTGGGGAGAGCTTCTTCAGTTGTCAAAGACAGTTTCTCAAAACTTGATGAGTCTAAGGAATCTGGTGGAGCTGCACCACTACTAAAAACACTTCTAGAAGGTGTTGAAATGACTGAGAAACAACTTATAGAGGTACACCTTTTTTATCATTTATTTTAACCACTGACCATAAATCCTTCCTGAGTGGAGTGGCTGTTTTAGAGCTGGGACAGCATTGTTTTAAAGGTGCTGGATGTACATTCCGTTTGCCTCACATGGTCAAAAGTTAAAATTAGATCAGCTTATTTTCCTTTTCTTTTTAATAGGTATGGATTACCTTATATTGAGTCAATCAGGCTTATTCTCGCAAATTGTAATTTCTGTTTCATGTGCCATTTTGCATGCATTTGTTTATTGAGTAATGGTTTTGTTAGCAAAAGCTGAAATTAACTGCAATGCTTTAACATATAAATATATTTGCTTTCAGGTATTTAGAAAGTATGGAGTAGAAAAGTTTGATCCTACAAATGAAGCATTTGACCCAAACAAGCATAACGCTGTATTTAATTTAGAAGATGCTTCCAAGCCTCCAGGCACTATTGCTGTAGTTCTCAAGGTATGAAAAAAAAATATAATCAATTCTTTTGCATGCCTCTCCAAATAAGAAAGAAATGCACTACTGTTTGGCATTAACAGTATAGCCTCGGGGTGACATTTTAATGTAATTCGATTGAAACCTTCAAATTGACATGTTGACATCTTACAAGTTTGAAATATTTAGCTTTGCTTGTGTTCTAAAAAGAAAATTTCTGAATTGAATAAGCATGTCTGTTTCTTTCAACTGAACTAAATACTTCAGGGAAGAAAACACAACAGGCACGAGTTTGATGTTGTCAGAAAACATCTTTTTATGACACAACTGCACGCATTTTTGCATTGATGTTTATAAGTTTATTTTATTTCTGCATGAACTATACAAGTGAACCTTTCCTTTGTTTTCTGAATTATATGACAATTGAAAAGAGCCCACACGACCAGAAGAACTTGGATAAATTGTTTGCATGAATGTGACTCATGCGACAAAACTGCTTGAATATTTATGTTTTTTTTTGTTCAGCAAAGTGGGGTTTTTACTCAGAAGGCTATTGGTGTATTTTTATTTTTATGGCCCTCAATTAACTTACCAAGTTACTATAGCAGTGAGCGCATAATTAAATACTTTCATATATTTTTGTATTGCAGCCCGGATACATGCTTTATGACCGAGTTGTTAGGCCAGCTGAAGTTGGTGTAACTACAGCACCAGAGAACAATGCAACTGAGGATAATGCTGGCAATTGAATTGCAGCTAACAAAAGAAGTTTCAAGTAACGGCCTTGTGGTAATAACGTTTCCAATTTTTTTGAATATGTTTGAGAAACTTGAATGAGATCAAATCTTATTCCTGTGACATCCATAAGCTTATTATCCAGTTGCAATTTTTTTTTTCTGCCCAATCTTTTATATAAATCCTTGTACTATAATATTATTTAGACGATACCGCAGATCTGGTTACTCTAGAATTTTCAAGTTTATAAGTAGAGTTTTGATTTTGAGTTTGTGTATGGTATCAAATGTCACGACCGTCCATGGTTGCAAGTAGTTGCTTGTGTTTTGGTTCCCAGCTTGCTGTGAGTGCATGGAGCACAGTGTATAGTTTATCATGTTGTAGCTTCTGGGTTCTGGTGTTTGTGCTGTGAGCAAGGTTCCATTGTACAAATGTTATTCTTCTTGAAGTAGCTATGTCCTTTGCATTTACACAACCAAAAGAGGTCTTTTAAATTAAAGCATGGCAAACCATTGGGCTTATCTCTACAGACATGGGCCTTAGCCAAGTCGGTTAAAGCGGATGTGCTTCTTATTCTGCACCCGAGTTCGAATTCCCTTGCCTATTATTTAGATTAGATTAAAGTAAAATATTGTTTATATAACAAAACAAAAAAAATATTGTGTTCGCTTCAACTTGTGCTCAATAGACGTCAGGGTGTTTTCCTAACTCAGCGTAAAAGATTGGGTAGAATCCTCATTATATTTTCTTTGTGATTATTTGATTTGGATCTAGAACAGATTTAATTCCTTTTTATCGTATTATTTATAGAGCTTATTGAGTTGTACATATTTCGTATTTATTTTGCTGAGTGAGTATGAACATTCAAGTAATGACTAATGAGAAAACTAAATTGAGCCAAAAAACAAAGACGAGAGGAAAACTGGAACTACAAAAAGGCGGGCCTAAATTCTTTAGACACTTTTCTTATGTTACGGTTTCGATAAATAGATTGTGGTTGTGTAAAATCCACACTTCACAATACGATGTCTTGTTCGTTTGTTCACTTTTATAGTGTCATGTTCTTCTTTCTCTTTTTTTTTTTTACTCCAAATTTGGTGCCATTGCATAACCCCTTCAAAAAAAACCCTCAAAAACACGAATGGTCACCCCTACATTGAAGTGCCACATTACTAGTAGCTATATATGGCTAATCTTTACAGACAGTTGAATACTTGAAACACTGTGCTATTTAATCATGTACTCTACTACTTGCTAACCCTAATATATAACTTAGGAGAAAATCCACAAACTAATCCTACAGCTTACTTACTTACATCATAATCAGTATCATAATAACACAGAAAATAGCATGGCTAGCATGTAGCAGGCCCTGCCAGTTGGTCACCAGATTTTGACTTCGTGATGCTGGTTTTTCTTTTTCCATGCAGCTCTAGTTTTTGTCTCCACAAATGCTAAGCATCAACCCAACCAAAATCTACCCGGGCTTGCTTTTTTCATCTGAGCATCTTCAATCTGGCTAACGGAATCACGGTTGGCACTGTGACCTTTCAACCCCAAATCTAAATCCAGATGGCTTCCATTTGAATCCTGCAAGCCAGAATGGTTCTCATCCAATTCCTGCAGTGCAGACGACACCTATTTAATAACTTTTGTATAGTAAATAACTTCACATTTTTTAAAAAACTACAGCAAGTGCACTAATCAATATCCTATTTGCTTGGTGGGGAAAAAGACAAAAAAGTTATCTTCGTTTTCAAATTGCTTTTAGTTTCTGGCGAGGTTTCTTTAAACCTCACATGCTTGCTGCTATATCCCAGTAAAATTTACTATCCTTGCTAGTCAAACATCAAATCTTATCAAGTGTATATGCGAACATATACAATGGTATAACCACCATTAGGCTTTTTCTTTTTATTGTTAGAACTATGGTGTTAAAGTTCATATACTCATGAATCTATGAGCCGGGAGTGGCAAGTATCAGCTGGGGAACAGCTTCCCCTATTTCACCACTCAACAAGGAGCATCTTGCAGCAGTGAAGATATTGACTTATGGACTGGGCACGTAACAACAACAATGACATTGACATTTTAGTCATGACACACAATAACCGCTTATTTGTCTGTGTGAACGAATGTGTATTTACCCCTTACTAAATAAAAAAGAAAGAAAAACTCCTAGACCAACATCATTACCAAATGTTGCAAACCTAATGGTCGCTACGTTGTAGCACAGTGGCCAATATCCACAGCACCATGGCCTAACACCAAGGTCAACAGTGACCATGGTGGTGGGATCTTATTATCCTTTAGGAATTATTTTATCATATTTAATTTCTGAAGTTTTTCAAGCATATTAACAACAACAAAAAAGGGGAGAAGTGAATAGTTTTCCTGGGTTCAGATAGAATGACCCCAATAAGACTTATGGGCTCAAGCAGCGGTGACAGCCAACACCACCACTACATGCTCATTCTGCAGCCCTAAAATTCATTTCAACGTCTAGGAAGGGGCATGAGCATTTGGCCATATGGCCTAATGTAGAACATGTACTACAATAATACAAAAGGACCATATCCAAATGAATGAAAAGATAATTAAGCAGGAAATCAATAGGTCTAACCTCAGCTTGTTCGTCCATAACTTGATCAATGTCTGAATTTTCATGCATCTTAGTACTCATGGCTATAGATTGGCCTCCCTCACTAGCTTTCACCACATCTCCAACCTTTCCCTTGGCTGTCTTCTTCTGTTCCTCTAGCACAGCAACCTGCACAATGAATCATAAGCCACTAACCAATGCTCAAAATGGGAGTGATCCGGATTATAAATGACAACAATTTCTGTTTTCTTTTACTTCTTCTCTTTTTTTTTCCTTTAAGAATTAATAGCATCAAGCTTCTAATCTACGCATCCCAGGACTCCTAAATCTATTTTTGGTTCTAATCTGGGCAACTCAAAGTTAAAAATTCATGACCTTGAATGCCGGAAAGCAAAACATTGATCCAAAACTGCATTACTTGGAAGGATTGTACATTAAAAAACCACAGTAACATTCTCAAATTGCAATAATTTTGTACAAAGAACATCACTTATAGCATACAACACAAAATCATACAAGTTCTCATTTTCAAAACAAGAGCAGCTTAAATTCCTAACCTCCTAATTTTAAAGATAAAATCCTAACATTATACAGCACACTCCAATTAAATCCTTCAAAACATCCTCCCTCCCAAAAGATAAAAATCCCCCACAGATTTTACACCAAAACCCACAATTTCCATAAACCCTAAAAACCCTAGAAACACATACGCAGCGATTGAAGCACACAGATGTATATGCCTGTTGGTAGTTTACTTACGGGCGTGTAGCGGAACTTCCGGCGCGGCGGCTCCTCCGTCGAGGCGCCGGAGCCGGAGAGGGGTTCTGCGGCGGCGGTAGCCGGAGAAATTGGGGTCCAGCGGCGGAGGAGGAGGCGGGAGCTGTTGTTGTTGCCGTTGGATTGGGAGTGAGGGTTCTGGTAAGTAACAGAGGATGATGAGGGCACGTGGACCCACTTCTTCTTCCACCTGCGAACTGGGCCGCTGAAGACGGTGGCGGTTTGGCCGTACCTCGAGGAGGCCCGGCCCAATCTGGACCCCACTCCCTCCATTTTTGGTTCTTCTTCAGCTCTCTCGCTCGCTCTCAGCCTTTGAGAGAGCAGAGTGACTGGGTCGGTGTGACTATTTCATTTCAAGTACGAGGTTGAGAGAGTGAGATACTTTATCAAAGGTTGTAACGACGCCGTTTTGGTGTTTGGTTCTCATGTTTTTTGTCCTACGGTTGGTTTGGCGGTTAACAGGTTTTGATTAATTATTGCAGTTTTAATTTATCTTTTTCAATTAGATTTACAAGTTATCTTTTCATTTCATGGCATGTTTATATAATATATGATAAATTATAAATTAAAATAATTAAATATCTATATATATTAGAAACGCAGAAAAAAATCAGAAATCAAAATAATATCAACAATTACTTTAAGAGATATTTTGTCATATACCCATTCTTAGCACTAAAACTATAAATAAACTTTACATAATTTAATTTCTATAAACAAACCCAAAAAAAATTCAAAAAATGAAAGCTGGCTCTATTGAATTTAATTTTGATTATTAAATTACTTTGATGCCCTATTGAGTGTTTTGAGCTTTTTTTATGAGGTTTTGGGGTAGAGTTTGTTTTAAGAAATCAATGGTAGTTTTGTAATTTAAAAGAAGTTAAAAGCTTTTTTTTTTTTTTTAATGTTGTAAATGGGTTTTGGGTGTGTTTCTAAAGTCCATTTCATATAATTTTTTTTTCTTCATAATTTGGGCTCCTATATTGGATATAATAGTGAATCTCCCTTATTTCAATAGCTTTTCGTATTTACATTTCATTTTCAACCATATATATAATTTAAATCTCACACCCGTATTTATTTGTAATTATTTGTGAGGTAAAATACTTATAGGCCACGAATGACATCGAGTTGAGCTCGATATCAAAGATCGTGTTAGGCTTGAGCTTGATGACCATACATTTTCTCCTATTTCAATCCCTCCTTAGCTAACATAAAATTAGGAGTGATTGTGGTTCGGTAACCGCGAATTTTTGCCCAAAACCGACCGATTATTTGTTGTATGGTGATTTTTGAAACCGCAAAAAGCGGTCGGTTACAATGAATTAACGGTTTAAAACCTCAAGTTCTTTTTGTGTCATAAAAATCCAATCTTCCACATTTTATGCCTAATTTTGATGCTTCTTTTGAAGCCATTTGATTTCAAGCATACTTTAACCCAAAAATATAAATTCACAACCTCAACTTCTCAAGCACATATAAATTCTCAACCTCCTCAACTTTTCAAGCATTCACAACCTGAAGAAAATTAAAGTTATAATTCCAAGTATTCCAATTAAAGTTAAACTTCTCAAATATTCCAATTCCAAATCCTTTAAAGTTACAAACCAAAAAGAAAATGCAATGCAAAATGAATTAAAGTTACAACTCAAAGGAAAAATCCAATTCAAAGTTAATTAAAGTTACAAACTAAAAGGAAAATGCAATGCACCAATGTTACAAATTAAAGTTACAAACTCAAGTGTTGGTGGTGGTGAGTGGATTTGAAGGACCCCGTTGTGTTGTTTGCGCACCAATGATATATACAAAATGCAATTTTTATTTATTTATAAATATAGTTGCGGTTCGCGGTAACCACAAGTTTTGAAAATAAAATACCGCAACCGCAAATGCAATTCTGTTCTTCGTACCGCAAATGCGGTTCGGTTTCCCTCAATTGCGGTTTCATTGCGGTAAATTGTCAGTTGATTTTTACGGTTTTACGGTTTTTCGGTCTAAAATGCCACCCATACATAAAATGATGGTGGATGATTATTTCATCTAATTTTCAGCTCTTTTATTATGTTAGATAATGTCTCCATTGAAGGGCAATTGTGAATAAACAAGAAAGAAATAACAGAGATGGCTAAGGGAAAACGTTGTCGTTTAAGTCCTTTTTTTTATTGGATAATCCCCAATTTGCCCTCTATCTTTCAAGTTAGCTAGCTGGGTTCTCTGAGCTCAGTCTTTAGTTCCAGAGAGAGGGAGAGACCAAAGGAAGAAAAGGAACAATGGAGCTCTGTATGAATCTCGTCAATGGTGGCTCCATCTCTGTCGTCAACTTAAACTCTTCTCGCCTTTCACGCTCTCTTCCTGTCCGTAAAAACCCCATTTCTCTTCAGTCCTACACTTGTCTTAGACCCCCTTCTCTTTCCCGCCAATTCCAACCTTCCCAATTCGCTGTTTCGGCTTCTCCTTCTTCCTCTTCTTCTTCTTCCACGGCTCTCAGCTCCGAGAAAGACCAGCTTCCAGCGGACATCGTTGTCACAGAGACTCAAGAACCCAATTCCAGAGTAATTTTCTTTAGTTGCCCATTTTCTTTTAATTCCCAAATTTTGTGGTTAATATCTCTCTCTGTAATCTTTGTGCAGGTTAAGTTGAGCATACAAGTACCACCAGAGGTCTGTGATGACTGTTACAAAAGGGTTATAGACGAGTTCATGAAGCAAGCTAAGGTTTCTTTGATTATATTTCTTCTGCATTGTTTTCATTTAGCTTGAGAGGAGTTAAAGTTCAATTTGATGGACTTTTTTTTGATGTTTTCAATGTCCACAGGTTCCGGGATTTCGGCCTGGAAAGAAGGTGCCTGAGAGTATTCTTGTGAGTCATGTTGGGAAGAAAAGTGTACAGAAAGCTGCAGTTGAATCTATTTTGAGGAGGACCCTTCCACATGCCATGTCTTCGGTATGTTAGGACTGCAATGTTGTGAATTACTTTTTGTTAAAACATATAGTTGCTTAAATTCTTGTAATTGCAAGTTCATGTTGGGTTTTAGCTTATTGGCAATGGCTTCAGAGTTACAATGTTGCAGCATTTTTACAATCATAACCCCTTAGAACATATAGCAAGAACAGCATTTATTTCTTATGAAAGAACCTAATGAAGTCGTACTGCAAATGTCTAACAAAACCCTCTTTAGCATTCTTGAGTTCTCAACTGAAGGTTGACCTGTTCTTATTTTACAGGTCACAGGCACGCCTTTGAGAGACTCAGTCCGTATTGTAACCAGATTTTCAGATATGGAGCAGGCCTACTCTTCTCTCAATTCTCTCAGGTTGATAGTTCAGATATTTTTCGAGTTACATTTTCACTTGCTATTTGATACTCCTAATTATTTCCACCTCAAAGTACCATATGACATGCAACATCTCCCCTCACAGTTTGTTAAGAGGAGATGCATGTATTAAAGGAGATTTGTTTATGTCAACCAGTATTTGCCTTCCGATTAGATCAATCATATCATGCTCATCAGTTTGACTTGTACTCCAGATACGATGTGATTGTTGATATAGCACCGGAAGTGAAATGGATTCCTGAGAATGGATACAAGAATTTGAAGGTCGTTGTTGAGATAGACAGTGACATAGATGCACAAAAAGCTTCTGAGCAAGAATTAAGACGCCGCCATAAGTCCCTAGGTTCATTGAGAATTGTAACCGACAGAGGTCTACAGGTGAGTCAAGTTCAAGTTACTTTTTTCTTTTTCTTTTTTTTTTATAATTATATATTTATTATGTGAAAAATATTTACTTGTCTGATTTGTTTGCTGGGATAAATGCTTAAAAGTTGGATTCTATTCAACATTTGAAAGAAATTGATACTGTCGCTTGGATTAGAGTATCATATTTGTTGAGTTTCAGTTGAGCTTTCAAACGAAGTTCCTTGCATCTCCTACTTGCTGTATTACATTTGTAACTTACAAAGTTGAGACTCCTACAGATCGGTGATCTTGCTGTCCTTGATATATCCGCAACAACCATAGATCAAGATGAATCAAATGTTAAAAGCATTCCATCCGCTGAGAGTAAAGGTGTGCCAATATGCACTTAATCTTCTGCAGTTCTGTTAATGATAATTCTTTTTTTTCGTCCGAGTGATGAATTTTTATTGCAGAGGCATCTCTCAACTTTATTTTCCATGTGAAGGTTATCATTTTGATACGGAAGATGGTGATAAAGTAGTTCCTGGTTTCCTCGATTCGATAATTGGAATTCAACAAGGTGAAACAAAGTCCTTTCCACTGGTATTTCCTGAATCATGGACACAAGAAGATCTTCGAGGAATTCGTGCTCAATTCAATGTGAGCGCTATCCTATTTTCTGAAAGTCCACATGGTTTACCAAAAGAACTTACAAGAAACAATAGGCATCCATATAAATCTTTTCTTCTTTTAATGTTGAACTGGCCCCTCGGTTTGCAACTACATGGAAATCTGATTATTCCCAATATTCTAAGCTACGCAAATTATAATAATAAAATATTTAATCTTATTTTATTGTTTGTCTTGATTTCTGTCCAAGTGAAAGTCTTCCTTAGTTATCCTAAAATATTCATGATTGGAATGTGGATTTGGAAAAGTTGTGATAATATCTTAAAACTACAAGATTTCTCTTAGTTTTACCGTATATGTGTCAAAAGACTATAGATGAAACTCTTCCCTTTTTTCTTCTTTTCTTTCTCCTTTAGGTTGAATGCAAAGAATTATTTTACAGAGATTTACCCGAATTGGATGACTCCCTTGCTGAAAGGCTTCTCCCCGGAGGCACCAGCCTGAAACAGGTAGCCAGTATGAAATTTTAAATATTCTCAATGGAGTGATGCTTTGAAAATTGTACCGTATTCAACACTAAAAATATATTTTCTGCTGTACGAATGTCCAGGTCAAGGAATCATTGTTGCAAAAATTCCTGGAAGTGGAGCAAACAGCTAAAGAGCAAGCAGCTGATAATGCCATTCTAGATCAGCTTTGCAAGGTGCTTTTAATTTCTAAAATATTCATCTTGAAGATTACATTGATCTTTTGCAACCTTTAATTGGGTTTTGCCTCACTGAAACAGGGCTTTGCATATATTATATTGTCAACTTTTTCAATAAGCTGTGAATTTGAACTGTTTGGTATTTCCCATTTCTATGGATGATGTGATGGGTCAATTATCTGCTTTACTGGTGCTAATGGTAGCAGCCATGGAATTTCCATTGGTTTAGCCTTTTTCGTTATTACTTTCCAAGTCGGAGGAGCTATTTCTGTATAATTTATTCATAGCAATCAAAGTTAAACATGACTCCTAGATTTCATCTA